TGTTGTAATAACTTAGGAGGCCCTTTTGCCACAGAGTCTGAGAACCTTTCGGGCTTCTGTCCCATTTATTCCTGTGAGCTCAGGAATGATTAGTCCCATCCAACTCATGGGAAATGGAGGCAGGAGGTAACTAACTGACAAAACAACAGTATAGTTGAAGTATTTAGTAGGCATGCAGCAGTTGGACTGGCCTTCTGCAGTGATGCTATAAACAAGTGCTCCAGCAGCTTCTACCTGATTTATCCCAAACCTTGCCCTCGTACAGGGGCAAGAATTGGGACCACTGGAAATTGAGATCAACAAGCTGACCAAGCAGATAGAAGAATATAATTGCGAGGTGATGATACTACAGAAGTACTGGCTCAATCAGCAGAAAGAGCTGGTCAAGTTAACACATAAACGGGAGGAACAAATAGCCTCCTTGGATATGTTAAAGAAACAGATCACAATAATGGAGCAGAAGAAAGTGCGCACTGAAAGTAAGTCATTCTCTAACTCTTTCTTAAAAAGTTCATCCATGAATGGAGAAAAAGGGGAGTGAAGGCTTACAGATGGGCAATGCCAGACCTTCACCAAAGAATGTCCACAGTGCTCCTACATATGTGTGAGCAATGATGCAAACGGACGCAGTACTATACTCTGGGGCTAAGAGCCAGACACCTTTTGCTGTTTTGCATGTCGTTATTTCCTATAACGATTGATCCTGCTGTCTTAACTGACACAGTCAAACCCTAAGTGATCATGTCACATGTTACACTTCTTAAATAAAGTTTGCAAGTAGTTGGTAGGTAAATGCCCGCACCAACGATAGCACTTTCCTAGGTCAAAACGAACTCTCTTCCACAGTAGTCTCCTTCAAAACCTTATTTGGTTTTTGGACTTGTGGAAAAATGTTTTGGCTGGGTATGTGGGACACAGGTGGCTCCGCATGCAGTGTTGTCTGGCTAATAGCAGTTTGTCACACCTTGCCAGTATTCAACCCAGTGCTTGTGGGAATTTTAAGACTTTTTTTTCTGTTTACCTGTAGATGAGATTCAGCAGGAAACAAAAGAACAGAAAGACATCGAACGTCACATGAGGAACATGTCAAATGACTTGATAAAGTTGAATGTGTTGATCAACAAGAACAACAGCAGCTTCGAGGAGCTGCAATATGGCAACATTATCACAGAGAATGAGTTTGTACGTTCTCTCAAGGTACACAGACTTGACATCTCATTTCCAGGTCTCAACCTCCCATGCATATCAGAGGCAAACAGTGATCCTGTAAATCTTTCCTAGTCTGACAGTTTTGTATTGGTTTATGCTTCCCAAATCCAGGCAGCAGAAAAAGAATCAGTTGAGATGCAGGAGAGGCACAGTCAATTGACTGAGGAGAAGGAAAGACTCCTAAACAGCCTAGTGGAAGCAGAGTAGGTACCAGAGAGATTCTTGCTTTGTGCCACAGTCTTTGAACTCTTGTATATGTGTCCATGTTACCTTTCTTCTCCAGTCATCAAACTGAACTAGTGGGAGAAAATGTGCTTCTGTCCTTATTGGAGAAGAGGAAAGGAGTTTAATTAATTTTTGAAATGCAGAAACTGAAAGGTGCTTTAGCTGTCTCTGGAACCAGCAAGAGCTGAGATGATGTTGGCTTTAATGATTCCATTATGCTTGTGCTGGACGTTGCCAAGATCTAGATGGGAAGACTGCATGCAGTCTCCTCTGCCAGTAACAGTGAGTGTGCTGCACTAGGCAATTAATTGGGGTCCATCAGCCCCCTGTCAGTCTGGGCGTGCTGGTTTTTACAGTCATGATGCCATTTTCTATATTGCGGAGCTTCCCATCTGATTTCACGCTGCTCTGTTGTTGCCCTTTTACATGTGCCATATGCAAATTCTTAGTTTCTGCTGAACTATTCAGTTCTGTGTTCAGAATCGATCTTGGGAGTGTGCTGCCACTGATGCACAGAATGAGCATCCTTTCTATTGTTTACAAAGGCACTGTTTTCCTTTTCTGTCACTGAAGGCATCAAATCATGCTATGGGAGAAAAAGATCCAGCTGACAAAAGAGATGCGTGCAGCGGTGGATTCTGAGACAGGACAAGGCAAAATCCAAGCCATGAGAACAGAGATTCACAGGATGCAAGTAAGCCACTGGGAAAGAGGACTGAGGAGGGGAAGCTGCACACAACGTATTCAGCTTTGGAGTTGCTGAAACATAAGGCAGGAGATGAGAAACAGGCTGGAGAAGTACCATCTTCAAGGCCATAGCAGCACTGGAAGTCTTACCACCCTGCAGCTAGATTCAGTTAAACACACCCAGCATGCATGCACTCTATGCGTTCCTTGTGCATGCTGTGTAATAGGCTGCAGCAGAATCTAGATATACCTGAGAAATCTATTTAAAGTGTAATCTGTCTGCCACCTTATTCTGTGACCCCAATTTATAAGCAAAGAAATATTGATTACTAAATATTGCATCATCTTAATCACTGGTTAGGGGAAGTCTTCTATCTTCTGGCAAAGCAACTCTTCCCCTTCATTCTCGGGATACTTCTGCTCTTCTGCTTTTCCTGTTGCTAATGACTTCCAGTGAAACATTTTGAAGATTACTTAGATGAGTTGATAATCCAGTCCTCTGCCTTCCAGATCCACACAGGGCAAACCAGGTTTGGATTTAGAGCAAATTTAGCTTGCTAACGCTCATGTGTCACATATTATCTGGTTTGTGTTGATGGGATGTGCCACACAGAAGGCATCGGTTAGGTGCCATTTGTAAATATTAATTATTTTCAGCCTATTTTATATCTTGACAAATGGCAGGTCCGCTATGGCCAGCTGATGAAGCAGCAGGAGAAGATGATTCGTGATATGGAGGCATCTGTTTCTCGTAGAGAGGAGATAGCGATTCGTGGAGAGGGCCAGAACAAAACAGATAAGAAACGGCTCGCCAAGAGCGACTTCCACCGCAAGAAACAGGAGCTGAGAAAAAAGATCAATGAAACCCAGAAGGTGAGAAAGTAAAGCAGGGCTGCGAGAGTTCATGTGGCCTGTATTTGCCTTGTAATGAGCACCAGCGCGCACTTAGCACAGACACATGGGGTGTCAGTACCCAGACCCTGCACCTGTGCAGGTACAGCACTGCACAGGGTACAGGCTTTGGAAACTCATTTTAAAAAAAAAAAAAAAAAAAAAAGCTCTGGGAAGATGGTTGGGAATGCAGCTGAACTGCAGAACCAGAATATGCCATTTCCTTCTCTTCCACTTGCTAGAACACTGAAGACTGCAACAAAACCATCCTGGAGCTGGAGACCACCCAAGTGTCCCTTAGTGCCACCTTGTCAGAAAAGCAGCAAGAATTGTGCAGACTGCAGGCTGAGTCTGATGGCCTTGATTCAGATGCAGAATGTCTTCAGAACAAGAAACGATGGGTGAGCACCTCTGCTTCCTTGCAGCGCGTGAGCCAAATAGAACCTGCTGCTTTCTTCTGTTGCCAGCTCCCTGTCTCTTTGTCTCGCCACCATCCTGAACTGGGCATGCTCGGCATGTAATTTGAGCAACACTTTAAGTTAGCTGAGCACATTTTGAGGGCTCCTAGTGGTCCAGAATTGATGCTTGCTTAGCAAGGCAGCATTCACCTGGAAACATCAGCCTAGAAGGACATTGTTTGTCTCTCAAAAATATCTAGTGATGACTATCCTTTGTGAGCGCTAGCTGGCTACTCGCAAGTATGATACAAATTTGAGAGCCAGCTCAAGGTCTTGAATGACCTCCTGCGAAGTTTTTAAGTTGGTGAAACTCTGTCCTGGCAAGAGTTGCCTTATATGTGCGGGTGTTTCTCTGATTTATGGAATTCTGTGACATCCAACATTTAAAAACACTTTTTTTGTCTTAGTTGACATGTAGGCGTGGCACTCAGGGATGTGGTTTAGTGGTAGACATGGCAATATTAGGTTTACAGTTTGACTCGATGATCTGAAAGGTTTTTTCCAACCTCACTGATTCTGTGACTATACCTCTACAACAGAGGTTGTTTGGCTGTTGTAATGGGGACTTCACAGCACTGTCCTTCTTAAGCCCTTCCATTTCAAAATGTGACAGTTATAGTACCTGCGACACGAATCACGCTGTTCTCTTAGTCCTTTTGTGTGTGCAGTCTGCTGTCAAAGCAATTTCTGTTGTTGCTTTTCTCAGAACCTTTTGGAGATTGTGGCCTACCAGACACGCCAGAAGCACCTGCAGGCACTGAAGGAAGGGAAGTACGCTCCCCTGTGCCACACTGAGCAAGCCTGGAGAAACAAGCAGCAGAAACTGCAGGACCGGCTCCGGGCCATCGATGCTGTTGTCCACCAGATCCAGCAGGAACATCCTCAGCACCGAAGGACTCTCCAGTGGCTCAGACAATGCTTGGAGTCCAGGGTCAGCTCCCAGGAAGCCTGACAGAGACACGGACAAAATACACATAACCCTCTGTTCTTGTTCTTGGAGAGGCTGCAGGCTTTGTAAATCAATAAATATAAATGAATAAGCATGCGTAGAGGGTAACGTTTACTAAAGAGGTAGCGTTGCACTTTTTTTTTGTTTGTTTCTTTCTACATTTCCCTGCCCCTGCTGCCCTGGCCCGGCCGTAGGGCTTTGAGGGGCTTCCTGGGCCCACCCGCCCCCGTGTAGCCTTGACTTCCCGGGACCCCGCTCTCCCACCGGCTTTTCCCTTACGCTCCAAGCCCCCCACCAACGCTCCAGCCTTCCCGGGGCGGCTCCGGGAAAGGGGAAGGCGCCCGC